CTCAATCAGTTCTTGCATTTATATACAGATTTGTTCCACATTATTTTCAACACTGGGTTAATACCCAAAGAATGGACAGTTGGTATTATTAAACCTATGTACACAAATAAAGGTAACCAGGGCGATCCGGATAATTATAGGGCGATAATCCTGGTGTCATGATTGGGAAAAGTATTTACCTCTATACTTAATGGTAGACTAACAAAAGTATCTGATAAGATAAACCTTATATCCTCCGCCCAAGCGGGATTTCGAAAGGGATATTCCACTACTGAAAACATTTTTATATTGCATTCCCTAATTTCTTTATATTGTTCAAAAGGTAAAACGTTATATTGTTCATTCATGGATTTTAAAAAGGCCTTTGATACGTTGTGGCGAGCAGGTTTGTGGGGAAAATTACAAAATAGTAACATTACGGGCAAAATATTTAAAGTTCTTTATAATTTATATCAAAATACCAAATCATGCGTAATTAATTGCAATGATACATCCGACTTTTTTATGTGCAATGCCGGGGTGAAACAAGGAGAAAACTTATCGCCATTTTTGTTTTCCCTCTTTCTTAACGATCTAGAGGATTTCCTCAATCAACGTAATGTTTCTTGTTTGAATGAAGTGTATGCTCTTAGTGATCAAAATTTGGGTTTGTACTTAAAATTGTTTATTATATTATATGCTGATGATACAGTGGTTTTGTCAGAAACACCAGATGGCCTACAGAACGCATTGAATGAATTCCAAAATTATTGTAATATATGGAAATTAACAGTTAATACACACAAAAACTAAAATGTTGACCATCACTTTTCGTTAAATAATAAGATTTTAGAAATACAGATTCGTACCCATATCTTGGAATAATATTAAACTACAATGGTGTTTTTACAAAAGCCAAAAGTAAACTAACAGAGCAAGCAAAAAAGCTTTATATACATTGTATATTAAGATTAGAAATATTTCCACTCCTGTAAATCTTTAACTGAAATTGCTTGATGCACTTGTGTGACCTACTTTATTATATGGATGTGAAATCTGGGGCTATGACAATACAACACGTGTCGAACAAACATTTACAGTTTGTAAGGAAATTCTTAACATTCGGAAGAGCACCCCAAATGATATGGTATGTGGTGAGTTGAGAGGGTATTCCCTAGAAATTGATATCGAAATCAGTGTTAAAATGGTTATGTTCTGGCATAAGCTTATAGCGGGTGGATCGACATTATCTAGTGTAATGTATAAGTTAATGTACAATTTGCACCATAATTCTTTATTAAGTTTTAAATGGTTAACGTATATACGAGATATTTTAATAGTTTATTGACTTTCCAAATGTCATGTACAATTAATAGACAATGCTTGAAAACTATCATTAAACAGAGAGTATGCGATCAATTCATTCAAAGTTGCTTTAATGATGTTGAAACCTCCTCGCGAGGGCAAGTTTACTCCTTATTCAAATAACAGTTTGATATTGAAACATATCTTTTAAAGCTTAATCGTAACGAACGAAAAGTAATATGTAAATTTAGAACATCAAATACAACATTTCCTATAAAAACAGGACGATGGAATGGAGTCCCACGCGAGGAAAGGTTATGTCTCCTATGTGATAACTATGTTGGGGACGAATACCAGTACTTATACCAATGTACTAATGTATCTGTTGTAGCTCTTAGACAACTTTATATACCAAATTATTATTATGTCAACCCAACTTATATCAAATTGAAAGGAATGTTGTCAATATGTAACACGGTACTTTTTAACAAAAGTAAGTAAATTTATACAAAGAATATGAAACTACTTAATATCTTAAATAAGTTAGCTAACCGAATTATTGAAATGGGTTGTTATTGTATAAATTGTATCATGTGTCATATTATGTATGGACTATGTCCATCAATGTATACTATGTAATATGTGACCTATTGTTGCGCACGTATACGTGTGGCGTGAGTGTAAAAATAAAACTTGAAAATAAGTAAAACAAGTAGTTCAAAGGCAGTTGAATCGATTGTCCCCTTTCCCATTAACATTATCAAGTATGACAATGTACCTAACAATCTAATTCGTTTCTTTAACCAATGCCACCTTTACTCATCGTTTGCATCCATTTACAAGCAATTCGGCCTTACATACACATTGTTATCCTTTATGTTAATTATGTTGTAAATATTTTCACCAGCAATTACTTTGGATTTAATCCGGAGTGAGATGCTAATGCGACCTTGAGTGCGAGGTGGTGGGTATTAAACATGAAATGTATTAACGGAACGGGTTTTAAAGGAATTGTCTGGGATAGCATGTGTAAATGATGGCTGTGATAGGGTGTAAGTAAGCGTTGTCATGGTGTAGTTACGTTTAAGGAGGGAGGTAGTTATGTGGACAAGGATGGGGCGGGTTATGGAGGTAGTATCCTTACCTTGAATGGAATAGGTGAGGCAATTAATAATTCCTTTGCTATAAGGTGTTGGTTATCCAGAATAGGGTCAAACAATAGTCACTGTTGAGAGGATAAAACATCTGCTACTAATGCAGATTAATAAAGGGAAAGGGTAATATTTACCGGTGAAAAGTTGGTGTATGTGTGTATTTGAGAGAGAGAGAGAGAGAGAGAGAGAGAGAGAGAGAGAGAGAGAGAGAGGTGTATATTATAACTAAAAGGGAAGGTCTGAACATTACTTGAGAAGGGAAATCATAATGGTTTCTTGGAGGGAATGTTGATATTAAGTATTAACATGGATGCTTTATAAGAGAGTGAAGACTAAGGGTAACTTTAGAGACAAAGGGATTTTTTTTTGTGTATTTGGAGGTTTATGTATTTTTTACAATGTCAGGTTTGTTCAATAACTTTTGTTCTTTATTTGATACGTATAAGTTCTGTCAATGTATATAATCGCATGTTATACGAGCACGTGGACTAGTTGAATATGTTGTGTTTTGTGAAATGTCGTTATTTTCTGTAACATCCGTTCGTTATGAGTGCAAGGATCAAAGGTATTTTAATGTAATGTTTTTAAATACTTGCAAAGTTAACAATCCAAACCTGCTTTTTTAAGTTTTTATTCTCGCCACCACCGCTAATCTCTGCATTATCCCGTAAACCGTCAATACATTGTTATGTAATATCGGTTCTATAACGGCTGCTGAACGAGGTCAGAATTGGAACGAACAATCAGAGACAAAACCACATAATATTTGTATTTTGTTCTGTGGTGAAGCACACGTGACCTATTACATGTGCACCCAACCACACACACATAAATTGTATTGATGTACCTTATCAATACCTAGCACGGTATTATATACGACCACATACGTGTAGGGTTTGATTTTAACCTTAACTGCCTGATACCCGACAAATACCGATAACATCCCTAGATAAATGACAAGAGGCGCATGTTACACATATGTTATATGAACATGTCGGCTAAGTATCGTTATGTTATCATTTGTAAAATATTGGTCATACACTTTTCTCAAAATTGAATCGGTCTGATCTCAATAAAAAGTGACAGCTTTGACGTTTTAATTGTTAATGCATCGTTAATATTCCAAACATATTTTACAAACAATCCATATTGCCTATACAGGAAAACAGTACCGAAAGTGTATCCAATATTGCCTATCGGAGTGTTCGCTCAATGGAAAACTTGATTAATGACTACATGTATCAGTCGTCTGTTTGTGCGATTCATACACCTTGTACTGACTACGGAGGTTGCACGCCTCTCTGTACGGTACATACACATTGTACAGACAACAGAGGTCAGTAGTCTTTCTGTACGATATATACACCTTGTACTGACTACGGATGCATGTTGTCTGTCTGTACGCTACATACACCTTGTACTGAGTACGGATGCCTGTTGTCTGTCTGTACGGTACACATATCATGTACTCACTATATAAATCGGTCGTCTGTTTATATGGTTTATCCACCTTGTGCTGACTACATAGGTTGATCGACTGTATGTACGGTACATACACCTTTCACTGAATACGGAGTTATGTCGTCTGTATGTACGGTGCATACTTCGTGTACTGACTACGGGGGTCGGTCGTCTGTATGTACGGTAAATACACCGTGTACTGACTACGGGGGTCGGTCGTCTGTCTTTACGGTATAAACACCTTGTACTGACTACGGATGCCTGTCGTCTGTCTATACGGTACATACATTTTGTACTGGCTACGAGGGTCGGTCGTCCGTCTGTACAAGCACCTTTTACTAAAATTTGAAATGAAATTACCATTCTCGTGTATACAATGCTTTGCACAATTTCCTTTATGATATATTCTGTATGTACGGTATATACACCTTGTGCTGGCAACACGTATTTCAAAAACCATACGTGATTACCATCAATACACTTTAAAAAACTCAGAAGGTTTCAAATCTCTCATATGGATGCAACACAAAATATAGTCCAATTGTTTTACAAATTGATTTATTGTGTTGTAAAGCTAAAGGTTCGTTGATTGTTTGATGAACTGATTCCTGTTGTGTTTGCCCGAGCTCTTAATTGTCTTATGTATCGTTAAGATATCAGCATTTATTTCAAATACACATCTGTTTTTCATTTTTACTCCTTTAGCACAGTTGAAAGTCCTCTCGTCTCGTCATGGATTAGCCATTCCATCTGATGACGTCAGCAGTTATCTGACGTGTCCCGTTCATAGACATAAGTTAGACGTTGGATGAATAATGACCACACACGTAGATGTTACCTTCCCTGTCCATTGCTCTCCTTGTTATTACTTACTTGGTTTTATCAAATATTTATCTAAATATGTGAATGTTTTTAATCTATCTCATGCTATGTCCATAACACGCATATCTATTTTTTTCATAAACCACATAAAAAATAAGGATATAATCAGGTGGTGTTTATTTATTCATTTTATAAATCACGTGTAATAATGATCAATACACTTAACATGCTATTTATATGTATATATGATATATGATAATGATAAAACAATCAATGTAATTTAAATATATGATTTTATTTGATTTGCCTTGTTGTAAAGCTGTAGGTTTCACACACATCACACTGAAATATTCCTAAACATTTTGAGAAACTGATTTTTTTTTGTGTTTACACCAGCTCTTTATTGTCTGAAATAAAATTTATATAATTGATGCACGGTGTTTATTCTGTCGTTAGGTTATACACCTTCATTCTAAGAGTTCAGCTCACATTGATTTTCCTTTATTTTAGTCAGTACAGCTGAAAGACACGGATAACGTTCCTCTCGTCAGTAGTACTATCATTAGTTACCACAAATGTGTCACCATAAACAGCTATAGCCCATGGAGATTGAATTCCATCTGATGACGTCAAAAGTTCCCTGACGCGTGTTCCGTCCGCAGCCATCTGTACAATGTTGTTTGATTCCCCACCACACATGTAGATGTTACCCTCCCTGTCCACGTCAATTCCTCTAGCATACCTCACGACACCGACCTTTATCACATCCGTACGACGTTGGTCAGCCGACAGTCTTGACACCGCAACGTCCCCCGGGATCTTGTTACGGACACTGACGAGTGTGTCTCCCTTTATTTGGTCTTGAGTGAGGGACCAACATATGTTGTTATATTCGTATAACAACTCGGCGGCTCCAGCCTGTGTCACACTGTATAATTCTCCTCCACTTGTACCCACGACAAACCTCCCGTCTATATGTGTTATACCATAACATTGTTTACCATTTGACATGTTGATATCAGATGCCAGGGAGAGTTTTGAGGCCTTGACCTTTACGACACGTATACCACCGGGCAACTCGACAGCGACCGCCACCGTGTTGTTGTCCACCAGACACATATCCCAGGGACGTCCCCGAACAGTCAACTCGTCCAGGTAGTGTCCTTTGTCTGTAAACAATTTCAGCTTTTGGTTGTTGAAATCACTTACTAATATTTGGGTACATGGTAGGTTCACAACACCACGGACAGAGCAATCATTTGTATCTGACGGAGACTTGATGCTGAATTTTCTGATTTCTTTCACACGTCGTTCTGACATTGGTTTTTCTAAATCGCTATGACACCCGGGTATACATCGTGGTGTTTTCCCGACGACGATCTTTCCCATTGTGTTATCACTAATAGTATTATGTCCGGTCACAATTTGATGATCGATGATGACGGATGTGAATGACTTGCTGATCTCCGTGACAAGGGTCTTACACGACTTCAATTCTGCCTGTCCTCTCTGATACAGCATTATTGTCTCCATGTTGTCGTTTTCCTCTACGGCTTTAATGGATGACTTCAAGGTATTTTTCATTCCATTCATCAGACGTTCGCACTGCCGTGATGATGCCTCCATGTCTCTTTTCTCTTTTTTGAACAATGTAATCAACTCGTCTGTGATGTTCTTCTGAAGTTTGTCCAATCGTGTATCGACCTTTTGACGCAGGTCGGAGATGCTCTGTAGTGCTATTTCCTGGTTCTGTATCATGGTTTGGAGCTGTTCATCAAAGTCCTTCACTAATGAGTTCATACTCTCTGTTCCTTTCTTCAACGCCACCTGCATATCTTCTAGCTGCGACCCTGCTTTTACCTTCTGACAATATTCCGTCACCTTTGGTACTTTTCCACAACTCCTATGGTCGTCGATCACGCATTCGTTGCAGCACAGAAGTTGGTGGTCCTCACAATACCGAACCATTCTCTCGCCGTGTTGATAACATCGAGGGGCAGACGTTTCCTTGTTTGGTCGTTTGCTATGGTTTCCGGTGACATTAAGTATATCACAATCAGTATGTATGATATCATGAAGGTGTACCTTACAAGTGTCGCAAAATTTCTCGTTCATTGTCTTGCACCAAAAACTGGCTGGGTTGTTCAGGTTACCTTTTGTATGGCAGGGTTTGCNATGGGTCATACAAACTGGACAAGGGAATGATGTTGCCGACACCATCTTCCCGGACAACTCCTTGGTGATAAAAGTCCCGAGACAATCCTGACAGAAGGAGTGGAGACAGGGTAAGGACTTGGGCTGTTTAAGTCGCTCTAGGCAGATTGGACATTCCAGTAAGTGTAAGTCCAGTTCCGGAGGGAGACAACCTTCAGCCATTGTTAGAGTTAGAAAGGGTCAACGCAGACCTGAAATAGAAAATGACAGTAGTTATAATTTAAAACCAATAAGAAAGACAGCTTTAAAAGCCGATAAGTAACACATGTGATGATATTTACGTGATTATCTAATAAATGCCAATGCAATTTAATCATCATTAAACAATGTCCAAGTAATTTAATTGAGGTTTAGTCATGTTTCCTGTTTTTATCTCATAGTTAATTCTGATTTAAAACAAACTGTCTATGGACGACATTGTGCCTAATATGATATATTGTGCTCAACGGCTAGCGTTTCTATAGTACGAGTGGTACCAGTTGTTTTAGTTTTTGAAAAATTCCTGTCAGGTTTTGGTAAATAATTGTAATGTTGAAGTTTGTAAATCTTTATCACAAAGTGAAAATACCGTGTGGCCGATATCGACTGCATTTTATATTTTTTCTGTGTAGCGTAGAATTCAATTAGTGGCATTGTTTACATTTCATATCGACCATCGATGATAACACTGTGTGAACTCGAACTTGAACTGGGATGTATATTTATATCTGTGTATATGTATACGTGATACCATGATAAGGTATACATTTGCTTTCTAATACAGTCTGTATTTTAATCACCTCACAATTAAACAAACATTTTAAAACCTATGTCCTGAAATGGCCTTAAGGTAAAAGGATTGTATCACAATTTTTCAGTCGAATTTCTTCAAATTTTGGAATTATATTGCTTTGGAGTAAAGAAAATTTTCTGCCACAAAAAAAAAATATAGGTTGTCAGAATGTTAAGGATTTTAAATGGAAATTTATGTAAAAAAGAGTGAATTTTGAATAAACAAATGAAAGACACAAGTTTTTGGATAATAATGTCAATAAAAATGATAGTGCCATAGATTAGTATTGCATTAATGTATATCAATTTAATAAATGCTGAAATTGTGTAAAATTATTTATCTATACATGATTAAAAAAAAGAAGACATTTTATAATTCTTAATATACACATAGTAATTGCATGTAAGATTTATCTGTCCTGAAAAACGTCACAGTAGTGAAATAGGTAGCCGGTGTCCTGAAGTACAGAAAAATGGACACATGCGACTCATTGATAACAAAACAACTGAACTAATGCCTGACTTGCTTTGAAATATTTTAATATTGAGAGAACACACTGTTCTGTCAATAATAAACACACACTATTCATCAGTTTAATATTAAACATTAAAATATGCGGAAATTGTGATACTGTCTCCCTACATTGGATTTTCAACTAGGAACGTACTTCCTATTTCCGTTTATCAATACACTCCTATGACCTTAAGTGTTGATAGGACAGTTTACCCTGATAATATGCTTGTGCAGAAGTCTTTTGACGTAGCAGGGGACGTAACTCTTATTTATCCGTATCGCTAACATACTGTATACATGAATGCACATGAGAGCTTTCGTTTGATACTCCTATAATAGTATGCGTACGTTCTGACATGTAACTATGTTTACTGGCTATTTTATATCAATATAAACAGTACATGCTACAAAGGAATTACAATGGTCCGGTCTGTTATATATGCTACACAGCAATAAGGGAGTTTCGGTTTTTACATTTCTAACCACAGCAAAGGTGTGTCTGCATTGTAGTTCAGGTAAAACTGTAATATACACAGATTATCATTGACTGTTTGTAAAATAAACATCACATGTTAGGGTACAATGTCACCTCTGTCCATTATACTCACCTAGGGGACACTTATTTACACGGGAGACACAAACAACCCTCCTAATAACAACCAGACATATGGTTGTACTTCGAATTCGTCTCGAGACAGGGAAGTAAGTTGTATAAATATCGAATGGGAAAGGCGGAGTCAAAATGCCGGATACTGCACGCTTCGTATTACTTAACTTAACATTACATGTGTATATGTGTATAATTACTCACGATGTATTATGTGTTTTTTTTTTTTTTTTATATATGAAGTAAAAAGAGGCTACATAGGTGTTGTTTTGTTGTTTGTGTAATTAACGTTGAGTAAGAAATATATAGTTATATAGTATAGTATAGACTTGCTCTAGTTATTTTCTTTAGTTTAGGAAGTATGAGAGGTTTTGGTCAATCGTAGTATAACAGAAGACATTTTATTAGAAAAGGATAATGTGCTTTGGTTGGATGGATATGGGTATAAATATAGGTTCCATCACTGGAAAAGCTATGAGCAATCCGATTATTTCATAAGAAAAAATAGGGTGATAACGGCGATCAAGAGGTTAGAGTTAGATTTAATTCGGCAGGCATAATGAGGCTCTCTTAGACGGACATTAATAAGTACCAACTTTACAGATGCAATAGGTTAGCCTGGAGCTGGTGTGATTAGTCGCAACTTTGTATCCCTCTTCCGGTCAAGTCGGGTCAAAATTAGGATAAGGCAACATTAGCCTAGGAGTTGTCTTTCATAAAACTATAATCGTAAATTAGTGCATGAAGATAGACGGCTCTTTCTCTCCTTTCTCATCTCACTTCATCCCTTCATTACATACGGAATCCCCCCTACTCATGTTCTTGTCTTTTCTTTGTTTGTTGAATAAACCGAACTAATCGGTAGTGGATTGACCACTCAAAAACAAACCAGGAGGAAACGCTTTCTCTTTATCTGGCAGTCAAAGTGAGAGGAACACTACTAAACGGAGGAAACGGTAAAAGGCTAGTAAGGGTAATGATGTCGTGTGTAGTTAATAGTCATAATGAATTACATAAGGTATATCAATGATAGTGTATATTGTCGCATGATATCGTAATGCAAGGCCAATTACAGGAAATCATAGTTCAGGCCGATGCACTTGGTATCACGGAACAGGGTGACGTATTGGGTATGTGTGCGTGTACAAACATGATCAATGCTCAATCAAATTTTGCTAATTACTCACTAATCTATTCAATTTAATTCCCCAAAAACGAAGGATGCCGTGTCTGATACAATATCAACAATCTGGCATTACTAAACTATTCCAATCCATCATGGAAAAGCCCAAATCGTGTCCACAAGACGAAATTTCACCAAATATTCAGACGATATACTTTTGGTTCAGCAAACATGACCGAAAACTCAGGTCGAAAACGACTTTTAAATACACACGTACCTTGTATATACGTACTTAATCAACACACATCACGCTAGGTGTCCGATACGAGCACTTAACTGTAGGGTTTGTTTATCTGATAACCGACAAATACCGATAACATCCCTAGATAAATGACTAGAACCGAGAGAAACAAATAGTTTGCAGCCGTGTTATCATATAATGCTTTGGACATGTCAGCTTAATAAAGTAATGTTTGTATTCATCGAATATTAGTCATGCATTTATCTTCAAGCTAAATAAATGCTTTCTTAATGTTACAGGTGATAACTTTGATTTTAGAACCGTTAATATAGCAGTTATATACAAAAGAAGGAACCTAACTGTCATGTATGTACAGTTACATGTAAGTTGTATATGTAGTTTATTGAATGATGTGCATTGGTTTTTTTAACGAATGCTATTCGCGTTTGGTGGCTATAATTGTTATACTCCAAGTGCTACTTCGGACAAACTTAGGGATATAACCTACATTACAATAACCAACTTAAAAATATATCCTACATAACTGTGACAAACTTCAGAACATGTCCTTCATAACTGTGACAAACTAAAGGATGTAGTCTACATTATTCTGACAAATTAAGGATTTATGCTACATAACTGTGACAAAACGTAACGATACATCCTAAATGGCTGTGACAAACTTAAGGTTTTACCCTATATTAATTTGACAAACTTGAGGATATATCCTACATTACTGTGACAAACATAAGGATACATCCTACATTGCCGTGACAAACTTAAGGATATATCTTACATTGCCTTGACAAACTTAAGGATATATGTTACATTGCCGTAACAAATTCAAGGATAAATCCTACATTGCCGTGACAACCTCAAGGATATATCCTACATTGGCGTGAAAAACTTAAGAATATATCATACATTGCCGTGACAATCTCAAGGATATATCCTACATTGCCGTGACAAACTTAAGGATATATCTTACATTGCCGTGGCAATCTCAAGGATATATCCTACATTGCCGTGACAAACTTAAGAATATATCTTACATTGCCGTGACAATCTCAAGGATATATCCTATATTGCCGTGACAAACTTAAGGATACATCCTACATTACTGTGACAAACTTAAGGCTTTACCCTACATTAATTTGACAAACTTGAGGATATATCCTACATTGCCGTGACATACTTAAGGATATATCCTACATTACCGTGGCAGACTTAAGGATATAGCCTACGGTACTGAGACATGGTTTTCTCTTCTCAGAAAAAAAATCACGCTATAATTATTATTTTTTACCTATATTATGTTGTTTTTTCTTGTATTTTTAAGGAGAATTAATAGTAATAAAGACCAAAATCTACTGTAAAACACATGGTCTTCTGTAATTGAAAGCAAATGCAAAACGAGAAGTTCAACTATGATGTATTATCATCTGGATATGAAATGTGAACGTTTATCATAGAAACGAGATTTGTAATATACTATTGATGATAATATGTGACATTTGAAGCAGTGCTATCAGAAAGCAGAGATGAACATGTCATTTAGTGTAATTTCAGAGATCGGGAGGTCTACGTATTTAATATGAGGAGGAAACGTCTTGTCTTGTTTTTGCAAAATTCAAAGATTCTGTTTTATAGATCTCTTCGCAAAAAACTTTACATAGGTGACCCTTTTCACAAGTATTA